GCCATGGACTTACCTTAGTGTTGAGAGCGTACAAACGTTCGACAAGTTTAAAATTTAAACGTATTATTTGCTTGAAATTTTGTATACGCTCATGAGCTACAGCATCCAGTAAAATATCATTAACTTCAGAAAGCTCAACATCGACTGTAACGTCATTATCCTTAGTTGAGTTTAGAGTTCTTTTACTGGGTATCTATTCTCGGTGTTGGTGGATATATTACGTGTTAGATGTTTAAGCACAGGTGGGTGGTTAGCAAAATTACAAAGTTATGATTTTTTTTTGGGTTTCGGAGTTTATTTTTTTTTTTATACAAAAACAAAAGGTGCATTTACAAGTGCGGCAACAACAACAAAAACAAATTAAAAATTTCAAATAAAAAAGAAAAATATAATTAGTATAATTAAGATAAAAACAAAGCTTAGTTTGTACAACTATTTGATTAAAAAAAATCATTAATGTAATTAAATTTTAATTGAAAATTTTAAAAACAAACTTTTTTTTTGTTTTTGGGTGCCTTTTTTCAAAAAACTACTTTGAGTTAAACAAAAACAATAACATACCTGATCCAACAAATCTTCAAGTTTGGCGCGCACTATAAGTTCACGTTCGGGTATAACTTGCATGGCCGTTTCCAAAGGTGAGCTGGGTCTGCTAATGGAAGCAGTGGCTGCTTCACAAGCCTGCACGGCACTAGCCAATCTAGACTTTTCATTGTTCAATTTATTTTGCATATTTTGGGCACATTTCAATTGATTTTGGGCCATTTCCAAGGTAGTGGCAGGAGCATCCAATTCGGTTTGTATAATGGGTTCATATTCCTCCAAGTTACGCATGATACTATCCAAAGTATCTTCATATTCTTGGAATTTAGCCAAAGACTCTTGCAAACGATTGCGTATTTGCACTGAGGTCTGCAACAACGAATTATAACTGTCTTGTATATTCTTCAATTGGGATTCCACGGTATCTCTAATGGCCGGGGTAGTAGCTTCATAACGTTTAATTTGCATTTTACCCTTAGCATTAAGTTCATCAATATTGGCTTGATATTTTTGTATTTCATCCAATAAAGCTTCATGTTGTTTGATTTGTTCCTGAGTCTGTTGACGATTAGAGATGAACAAGGAATTGTGTGCCATCAATTGGAAGGAAATTTGCAAAAGCCATTTTTCTATATCTTGCAAAGCTTGATGATATGAAGTATAATCATTGATTTCTCCCTCCAAGTTCTTAATGTGATTGGCACAATCATTTTTAACCTTATCCCATCTAGCCTGCAAACGATGCACATCATCGAGATCAGTGCCCAATTCTTTAGCTTCCGCAATAAGATTTTCCAATTCCGAACCCTTGAGTTTAATTTCACCCTGCAGTGACTTGTAACGTTCCAATTGTGTCTTCATTTCACTGAACTCTCCCTTAGTATCGGGTTGAGTTTTCAAATTGTTTTCAACTTCATTAAGCCATTTCTCCAATTTCTCCATATTAGCCGAGTAGTCAGACCAGCGTGATTGTTTCTGTTTCAAATCAATCAATTTCTGTTTAATGGCTACACCCAATGCATCCCAGTCTTCGCGTACTTTAGTCATAAGATCACGCAATTTTTCTTGTTTATCTTCGGGCAAGACATTGGAGGCCTTGGAATAGGCATCTTGTACCATACCCAAAAGGTGTTGACCCTCGGGCAAACGTAGGGACAAGGACTGTAGGAAAAAAAGAAAAATTTTATTGTTTAAAAACGTAAAATTTCAAGATTCCTGTGAAGGTTCGAATTTTTAGTGATTTAAAAATATTCAATGTGAAATTTCAAAATCTTAGTTTAAATTTGAAAATTGTAATGGAATTTCAAAATTTTTTTCAAATTTCAAAATTTTTGTGAATATTTTAGGAAATTTTTAAAATAAGTTCGACATTTTCATCAAATTTTATGCTGAAATTCAATAAAAAATTGTTGAAATTGAATTTTTTGAAATTTTGATATTCGATAATTAATGAAAATTTTAAATTCGGAAAATATTCAAATGCGAAATTTAAATTAAAATTCAAAATTTAAGATAAAATTCAGATTTGAATTTTTAATTCTGAAACTAACTAACTAACTAACTAACTAACTACTAACTAACTACTAACTAACTACTAACTAACTAACTAACTAACTAACTAACTAACTAACTAACTAACTAACTAACTAACTAACTAACTACTAACTACTAACTAACTAACTAACTAACTAACTACTAACTAACTAACTAACTAACTAACTAACTAACTAACTAACTAACTAACTAACTAACTAACTACTAACTAACTAACTAACTACTAACTAACTAACTAACTAACTAACTAACTAACTAACTAACTAACTAACTAACTAACTACTAACTAACTAACTAACTAACTAACTAACTAACTAACTAACTAACTAACTAACTAACTAACTAACTAACTAACTAACTAACTAACTAACTAACTAACTAACTAACTAACTAACTAACTAACTAACTAACTAACTAACTAACTAACTAACTAACTACTAACTAACTAACTAACTAACTAACTAACTAACTAACTAACTAACTAACTAACTAACTAACTAACTAACTAACTAACTAACTAACTAACTAACTAACTAACTAACTAACTAACTAACTAACTAACTAACTAACTACTAACTAACTAACTAACTAACTAACTAACTAACTAACTAACTAACTAACTAACTAACTAACTAACTAACTACTAACTAACTAACTAACTAACTAACTAACTAACTAACTAACTAACTAACTAACTAACTAACTAACTAACTAACTAACTAACTACTAACTAACTAACTAACTAACTAACTAACTAACTAACTAACTAACTAACTAACTAACTAACTAACTACTAACTAACTAACTACTAACTAACTAACTAACTAACTAACTAACTAACTAACTAACTAACTAACTAACTAACTAACTAACTAACTAACTAACTAACTAACTAACTAACCTAACTAACTAACTAACTAACTAACTAACTAACTAACTAACTAACTAACTAACTAACTAACTACTAACTAACTAACTAACTAACTAACTAACTAACTAACTAACTAACTAACTAACTACTAACTAACTAACTAACTAACTAACTAACTAACTAACTAACTAACTAACTAACTAACTAACTAACTAACTAACTAACTAACTAACTAACTAACTAACTACTAACTAACTAACTAACTAACTAACTAACTAACTAACTAACTAACTAACTAACTACTAACTAACTAACTAACTAACTAACTAACTAACTAACTAACTAACTAACTAACTAACTAACTAACTAACTAACTAACTAACTAACTAACTAACTAACTACTAACTAACTAACTAACTAACTAACTAACTAACTAACTAACTACTAACTAACTAACTAACTAACTAACTACTAACTAACTAACTAACTAACTAACTAACTAACTAACTAACTAACTAACTAACTAACTAACTAACTAACTAACTAACTAACTAACTAACTAACTAACTAACTAACTAACTAACTAACTAACTAACTAACTAACTAACTAACTAACTAACTAACTAACTAACTAACTAACTAACTAACTAACTAACTAACTAACTAACTAACTAACTAACTAACTAACTAACTAACTAACTAACTAACTAACTAACTAACTAACTACTAACTAACTAACTAACTAACTAACTAACTAACTAACTAACTAACTAACTAACTAACTAACTAACTACTAACTAACTAACTAACTAACTAACTAACTAACTAACTAACTAACTAACTAACTAACTAACTAACTAACTAACTAACTAACTAACTAACTAACTAACTAACTAACTAACTAACTAACTAACTAACTACTAACTAACTAACTAACTAACTAACTACTAACTAACTAACTACTAACTAACTAACTAACTAACTAACTAACTAACTACTAACTAACTAACTAACTAACTAACTAACTAACTAACTAACTAACTAACTAACTAACTAACTAACTAACTACTAACTAAACTAACTAACTAACTAACTAACTAACTAACTAACTAACTAACTAACTAACTAACTAACTAACTAACTAACTAACTAACTAACTAACTAACTAACTAACTAACTAACTAACTACTAACTAACTAACTAACTAACTAACTAACTACTAACTAACTAACTAACTAACTAACTAACTAACTAACTAACTACTAACTAACTAACTAACTAACTAACTAACTAACTAACTAACTAACTAACTAACTAACTAACTAACTAACTAACTAACTAACTAACTAACTAACTAACTACTAACTAACTAACTAACTAACTAACTAACTAACTAACTAACTAACTAACTAACTAACTAACTACTAACTAACTAACTAACTAACTAACTAACTAACTAACTAACTAACTAACTAACTAACTAACTAACTAACTAACTAACTAACTAACTAACTAACTAACTAACTAACTAACTAACTAACTACTAACTAACTAACTAACTAACTAACTAACTACTAATCTAACTAACTAACTAACTAACTAACTAACTAACTAACTAACTAACTAACTAACTAACTAACTAACGAACTAACTAAACTAACTAACTACTAACTAACTAACTACTAACTAACTAACTAACAACTAACTAACTACTAACTAACTACTAACTAACTAACTAACTAACTAACTACTAACTACTAACTAACTACTAACTAACTAACTAACCTAACTAACTAACTAACTAACTAACTAACTAACTAACTAACTACTAACTAACTAACTAACTAACTAACTAACTACTAACTACTAACTACTAACTAACTAACTAACTAACTAACTAACTAACTAACTAACTAACTACTAACTAACTAACTAACTAACTAACTAACTAACTAACTAACTAACTAACTAACTAACTAACTAACTAACTAACTAACTAACTAACTAACTACTAACTAACTAACTAACTAAATTCTATTGAAAGTTACAAATTTTATTGAAAATTCCAAATTTTATTGATAATTCCAAATTTTATTAAAAATTCCAAATTTTATTGAAAATTCCAATTTTTATTGAAAATTCAAAATTTTACTGAAAATTTAAAATTTTATTGAAAATTCAAAATTTTATGGAAAACTCGAAATTTTACTGAAAATTCAAAATTTTATTGAAAATTCAAAATTTTATGGAAAATTCGAAATTTTCTTAAAAATTTCAGATTTTATTAAAAATTCCAGATTTTATTAAAAATTCCAGATTTCATTAAAAATTCCAGATTTTATTAAAAATTCCAGATTTTATTAAAAATCCTATATTTTATTAAAAATTTTGGAATTCAAAACTTAAATAAAAATTCTTAATTTTAGTTTTAGTTAAAATTTGCAATTAACTTTAATAAAAATTCAAAATTTTTATAAAAATTCAAAATTCTATTGAAAATCAAAAATTTTATTGAAAATTGTGAATTATAGTGAAAATGAAAAATTTTATTAAAAAATTCTAAATTTTATTAAAAATTCTAAATTTTATTAAAAATTCTAAATTTTATTAAAAATTCTAAATTTTATTAAAAATTCTAAATTTTATTAAAAATTCTAAATTCTATTAAAAATTCTAAATTTTATTAAAAAAAAATTTTTTGGAATTCAAAAATTTAGTAAATATTTTGAATTTTAGTAGAAGTCCTAAATTTTATTGAAATTTCAAAACTCTACTAAAAATTTTACATTATACATTATAAATTTTCATTGAAAATTCACAATTTTAGCAAAATTTTTTGAAAAAAAATTTCAAAATTCTGAAATTGTTTTCGAATCGTTGTACTTACATTCACAGTTTCGATTTGTTGGGCCAACTTTTGTACATCATCATCGCCATTGCAGCTATCCAAAACTTGTTGGGCCTTTTCAATCCAGGCATCCATTTCATTTTTATAGTTAAGGAATTCAGTATGATCGGACAAATTCTTTTCGATCTTAGATACCAAACCTAAAGACAAAAACAAAATTTACTTTATAATGCCACTCTTGGTTAAACTTAAATAATACACTTACCTTGGGCAGATGTTAACAATTTAGTATAATTGGCTTGAGTATCGACAGTTTGATCACGAACTCTAGAGCAGGCACTGTGTTCCATTAATAATTCGCAGGCATCATTCAAATCTTCTACATTGTCCTTTTCAGCCACAACTTCTTCAAGAAGTTTCTAAACACAAGAATTGAAATATTAGTTAAAATCTCATCTCATTAATGTTATTCATAGTAAGTTGATTTAAAAGCTAAGGATTAGATATTAGGAGAAAGCTTTTAAGTTCGGTTAAAAGTTTTTAGTGATTATATTTTTTCTAAAAGTGTGGGAGAAAGGGTTAAAAGGATTTTATTTATAGCTTTAGGTTGATTTGTTAATTAGTTTAAGTGCATTAAATGAACGTGTTTTTGTTTACGAATTTTGGTTAATTGTGCCTTATTAGTTTGTTTTTGTAAAAAGCAAGGTACGGAACGTTTAACATTTACAGTTGAATCCTGGCACAAAAAAGTACAAAACGCTTACCTTGGCATTAACCAAATGTTCGGGAGTTTTATTCTCAGTTTCGCTGGCATGGTTAACTCTTTGGGAAATATCTTCAATCCATTTATTGATCTTATTGAATTTCTGCAAGAAGCTGGACCAGGCATTAAGGGCCGACTCAAGATTAGATCTAGCATCACGGGACATGGCTTGTACGGCATCCCATTCGGCCGACAAATGTTTGATTTCTTGTGTCACACTGTCTTGACCCTCATTACCGCTAGTGCTTATAACGGCTTGAGATAGTTCTTGGCAAGCTTCTAGCAAGGACTTGCCAGTGATCATGCTCGAGTCAATATCACCCAATTTGTTGAGACGCTCTTCAACCTGTTGCTTTTCGCCATGGCAATTCGAACATTGTTCGATTTCAATTCTAGTATTGCGCAACCATTCCTGGAGTTCGTTGAGCGATTGCTTGTATTTGTCATGATTATTAACTTGATTTTCCAGCGATTCAATAATGGCATTAACCTTTTGTTGCAGCTCATCGAATTTATTCAGACCAGCAGCAAAATCATTACGATCTAGGGAATTATCTTCGGACAAACGTTTATTAATCTTTTCCACCATATCACTGTGTCCATTGAAATCTCTTTGTATGGCACGGAATTTCTCTAAAGCAGCTCGCTTTTCACTCAAATCGTTTAGATAGTCATCGGATGTTTTCAATGAGGGTTCTACATCTTCTAGCCATTCTTGCAACAGCTTATACATTTTGAAGATTTCTTCCAATTTGGCCAAACGGTTCATTAACTTCTGCTTAACATCATTCATTTGATTAAGCAAATCCTCATAGTCCTGTTTCAAAGTGTCCGTATCTTCTTGTATTTTAGCGGCTCCACTTTGTTCGGTGTTCATTATAACCTTTTCCTTAAGTTCCAGCAAATAGCGTAACTTATTTTGACCCGATTCGAAACCTTGTCTTAGATTCTTAACTGTATTAAGTTTGATTTGTACCTCATTCAAAGTTCCGGGTATAATTTCGCATTGTTGCAATTTCTCTCTAGTTTGTTCGATCCACGATTGACATTCTTCGTATAGAGTGTGATGTTGTTGATGTTCTTGATAGTGCATTTCCAAGCGGCGCATTACCTCCTTGGCTAGGGTTAACAGGGCATTGTATTTGGTGGTAAGCTGCATAATGGCATTACTAATTCTGGTATCAGAGCAGGTCTCCAATAGCATTTGTGCCTTCATATTCAAATGATCCAAAGTCTTTTGCCAATCGAATAGGGTTTGCAAGTGACCTTGGAACTCTTCGAGCACCACCTTCTTTTGGGTAAGATTCTCTTGTAATTTATTGTAGGATTGAACCAAAGCTTCGGTTTTAGTTAACCAATCCAAAGCTTCAGTGTATTGATCTTGGTAATCGGACCATTTAACAATACCCATTTCCAAGTAATCCTTAGTCTTCATGAGATTATCAACATAGGTGTCGAATTCTTCTTGCAATAGCGCCACCTCCTGTTCAATAACTTCTCTATCTTCAGGTTCTGCCTCGTTGCAGGCCTTTTCGCCTTGAGCTAAAGCCGCCTCCAGTTTCTTTTGTCCCTCGGGTACTTCGCTTTGTAAAATCTTCAATTGATGAGTCTTTTCGGCCAAAGCTTGCTTATCACCCGTGGGTTCGGAGCATTTGCTCAAGCGTTCCTTAGCATTGCGCAACCAGGTGGCAAAATCATTACCGCAATCAATAAAGGCTTGGTATTGATCAATAGTATTCTTTTGTTTTTCATACAATTCCATGGCCTGTTTGGTGAGAGTCTCGTATTTGTTGGATATTTCCGAGGCAGGGGCACCTTGTTGCAAATCAGAGGCCTTGGATGTAACCGATTGGATCATAGGTTCGAAGGACACTATATCCTGGACAATATTGTTGGTTTGACGCAAGTTAGCCTTGCGTTCACTCAAACCACTGCTAAGTCTAGGAGCACCCTTGGATTTGTGTATCTTTTGTTCGCAGGCCTGCTGCAATTTAGATTCTCTATCGGCAATCCATTTCTGCAATTGTGTATAGCTGGAGCTGTAGTCAGCCCATTGCAAAAGATTAGTCTCCAATTGAACCTTGGCCGTAGACATTTTCTTAACCAAACGATCCCAATCGTTTTGCAATTCCTTCATTTCATTGTTAATAGCATCACGGCCATCGGAGCGGGTATTACGCACCACCTTTTCACCATTATTAATGGCGGTGTGCACCAGATTTTGACCCACTTCACGGTTACGTATAAGTGTCTGTATCTTTTCCAAACGCTTTTCAAGCAGTTCCTTAGAACCAGCACTAGAAGATTCACTTGCCTCTCTAATCACATCCTTGGCATGATTAATCCAATCTTTGGCGCTCTGTAGATTACCTTCAAATTCACGATGTTGTTCGCAGTTGGTTTCGACCTTTTTCAAAACATCTTTAGCCAAATTGACCTGTACTTGATACATAGAATTCAAATGTCTCAGCTGATTGTTGACATAGGTATCCAAGTGTGATTTCAGGAGACCAGCAGCGGAGTTATTGAACTTTTCTATATCTCCCTTGCCCTTTTCGAGTCTGCCCATAATGTCACGCATATCGGCAACTTGTTTTTCTTTCTCTCTCAAATTAGGCAATAAGTTCAACTTGTGATTCTTAACTAAAATGTCAATTTGTTGCAACCATTCCATGAGACGTTCGTATTCCTCTTTGTAGGCTCTCCATTGGTTCATGGTTTCCTCTAGATTCTCCTTTTGGGAGCTAATATCACGGAACAAAGATTCGAAACTATCTCTGAGAGAGCGTATGTCATTGCGTATAATTTCTTGACCTTGGGGTGAAGTACTGGACATTACCACCTCACCGGTATGGGTCAAGTGTTCAACTAACAATTCCCCTTGAGCCTGTTTGTTCAACATATTCTCAGTGGCTTGTACGGCATTTTCAATGGCCAATTTATCGCTGAGACTGCTTTGCTTCAATGAGGGGAACTTCTCTCTGGCTCTGCTAATCCAACTGACCAAATCATCATAGGCTTCCTTGTATAACCGGTGGTCTCTATATTGATCTTGTCTCTCGGTTAGCAGTTTTTCTGCCTTAGCAGCCAATTCATCAAATCTATCCAAAACCTTTTGGGCCTGGAATGCTTGTTGACTCTGTTGACCACTAGCGATCATATCCTTAGCTTGAGATTTCAACGAATCCACATCGATTTTCTCCATGCGTACCTTCTCTTCGGTCGACTTAATGCGATCAAGTTGTGCTCTCTTTTCGGGCATTGTTGCTTGATATTCGGAAAGTTCCTTGAGCGTAGCATCCATAGAATCATTGAATTTATTAACGTTTTGTATTTGTTCCAAGAAACCAGACCATTGTGTAATGGAATCATCTAATTGACCCTTTACATCGACAATACGCAAAGCAATTGAAGACCAAAGATCTTGTAAATCGGACAATTCCTTATTGATGGCATCATGACCATTGGGAGCGGTGTTGGCCAAAACATTTTGGGCCAACTCCACGATACTCAATACTTTAGCGGAACCTTCATCTTTCATCAGAGTAACATCTTGAATAGTAGCCAACTTTTTGTCCAATTCCTTTTGATTCATTGAAGACATATCCGAGCAGTAATCAAGTTTCTCCTTAATGCCATTAATCCAGGCGGTAACTTCGGAAATAGAGTTATCGAATTCTTGATGGGAAGTAACATATTGTTGCCAACGATTGTTAAGTTCCTTGACTTTGTGGAATAGTTGTTGGTATTTAGTAACCAATTCAGGTCCCGAGCTGCGTGAGGCCGAAGGACCCTTCATTAGTAGTTGGGCCTTTTCAGATACATTATCGATTTCCAATTCCTTAGCTCTTACTTCACCTTGCAAAGTCTTAAGCTCCTCCAATTGGGATTTCTTTTCGGCCAATTTGGCCTTTAAGTCAACGGAATGTAATTTGTTGTCAGCATCTCTAATCCAGGCCAAGCATTGATCACGCAATTGCTCATAATCGGACCATTGTTGTAAACGTAGCTCTATGGCTTCAATGGTAGAGTTAAGATTAGCTATAAGGCTTTCCCATTCTTGTTGGGTATTATCGATTTGAGATTTAATATTAACTTGGCCGCTTTCTACAGTACCGGGTATAACTAATTCACCCAATGTTCTGACTTGATCCACACGAGGGAATTCATCAGCCAAATTAGATTTCAAGTTCTTAAGACGATCCAAATTGGTGTGTAGCGATACCTGTTCCAAATCCAAATCTCCCCAATAGTCAATGGTACTATGAGTAGATTCAATAAACTCTTGAGCATCCATAACAGCCTTACAGTACTGTTGATGAGCACTCACAAATCTTTCGTAATTTTCCACATACTGCTGAGCACGTTTTTGCACCTTGTTATAGCGTTCAACAATGTCTTTAGTGGTTTCCTCAACATGTTCAGTTTTTTCGGGTAGATTGGCGGTAATCTCTTGCAAATTGCCAATTTCAGCTTGATGATTATTGATGTCGTTTAGAGCATCACGATAATTTTGCAATTTAGCTCTCTTTTCATCCAATGTCGTCTTGAGTTCAATGTCGGCGGGTATAGTTTTTTCAATATTAAGCAACCAGTTTTGCAGTTTTTCGGCGATTTCATCGAAACCAGACCATTTGGACATTTGATCTTGAATTTTTCTGGCATTAGTGTTGATTTTGTCGAAGAGTTGGTCAAAGGTCTGCTGCAATTCCTCCAATTGTGAACGAATTGCCTCACGGCCTTCGGTGGCCGTTGATGGATAGCATTTCTCTCCACATTCAATGGTATTGTTCAACAACAATGTAGCTGAAGGTTGTTGGGCCAACAATTCCTTGCAGGCAATTTGTTTTTTAAGTAAATCTTCGCGTGTTCCCACTTGAGCCAAATCACTGCTGTCATCATATTTAGCTTGGGCACTTGCCATCCAGTCGGAACATTGCTTGTATTTTTCATTGAAAGCATTGTGATCCTGCACAGCTTGTTCGCATTTCTTAAGGATTTCCTTGGTAGTAGCCTGTATCGATTGGAATCTCGAAGTGACCTGTTGGACATTGACTGCAATACGAGTTTCTCCCGAACTTTGTATCAATTCCGAAGAATCATCCTTAATTTTCTCGAATTCGATTTCCTTTTGTCTTAAGTTATGAGCCAATGATTGGAATTTGTTGAGTTGATCTTCTTTTTCCTCCATAGTGGACTTGGGATTGTAATTTTTCAAGGCATTTTCCGATTCTGCCAACCAGGAGATCAATTGATCAAGATTTACTTCATAATCTCCCCATTGTTGGAGACGATTTTCGAGACCACTCTTAACGTCACTTAAGGCGGCAGAGAACTTTTCGAAATCAGCATGTAAGTTGCTCAAGTCGCGTGTCATGGCTTCCTTGGAACGGGCCGGTAAGATCTTGGCATTGTTATCGATGTGATCCGATAAAGTTTGTAGTTTTTGTGAACCTTCCGGTAGCAAATCTTGAATTTCGATAATCTTGCTTAAGCGTGCCTGTAAAGCTGGTTTATTGCCAGAGTACTCAGAGTAGCTGGTCAAACGATCCCACAAGTTCTTTTGATAGTCCTGTTGGGCCTTTTGCAATTCACTAAATTGCTGATAAACATCAAAGGATTCTTCCAGTTTTTGCATTAGATTATTACAATCGTTGGAAACCTTTTCATAACGTTTGTTAACATCATCCACGGCCTGTTTAATTTGGGCGGCATTGGCCGGTTGTGTTGTGTTTTGCAAAATGGTGGCCTTTTCATTTACAGCCTCCACTATACGTTTGTGAGAGTTAATATCCTGTTGTGTGGTCTTGAATTTATACAATTTCGAACGTATTTCCTGGGCACTAGTCCAGGTAGCAGGATTTTCATTTTGTATGGCCTTCTCAACCTGATCCAACCAATTGACAACTTGACCCAGTATATCTTGATAGCTGGAAAGCTGAACAGTTTGGGCTTCCTGTTTCTTTTGCAGATTGCGTATACCTTCATCCAATTTATCCCATCTATCACGAATGTCACGCATTTCCTTACGTAACTTCTCTCTTCCTTGTGTAGAAGTTTCGGGCAAGGCCTTTTCACCAGCCGCATTTAGAGCCGCGAATAGGGTTTCAGCTTGTTCCTTTTCAGACAATAAAACTTGCAGTATATTGCTAACCTGGGAAGCATCTTCTTTTTCAGCATGTTCCAGTTGTTTTTCAATAGGTTGCAGCCACAAATCAACTTCGTTATATTTATCCTGATAGAACTGATGATCATCGACTAAGTTAGACCATCTGTTGACCACCTCCTTGCTTAGTACTTGTAACAGTTGATAACGATTGGTAATTTGAGAAGTTAAAGTCTTCAAACGATCAGCACCACAATTGTTAAGCAGTGCATGGGCAGCATCGGCAAAGGCATCAATTTCCTTCTCCTTTTGTAAAATTAAATCTCTTTGTATTTTATATTTCTCCAATTGTTCGACCTTTTCGTGTAATGTCGACTGCAATTGTTGTTCGCGGAAGACAGCTTCAGCAGATCTGCACCATTTGGTTAGTTCGTCCAATTTTTGTTCAAAGTTATTCCATTGTTGCAAAACATCATTCTGTTTGCCTTCAATACCTTCAATATCATCGAAATGAGATTTAATGGTGGTTTCCAATTCATCAATTTCCTTATTTAGAACTTCATTGCCCTTCTCGGAAGTTGAAGGTTTAACCTTTTCGAATTGTTCTCTAATTTCCGTAACGATTTTCATGGCTTGTGGTTTATTTTCAGCCAAATGACGCAAAGTTTCGATTTTACGTTTAATATCGGACTTCTCGCCATAGGCATCATCACATTCGAGAAGTTTAGCTTTTTCTCCCGAAATCCAGGCTTTGGCGGCGGAAACTTGGTTATTCAAATCGTTGTGTTTTTGAACACAATCATCTAAATTGTTTAAGATTTCTTCGGATTTTTGTACAATATTATTGAACAATTGTTTAATAGATTGCAAGTACACGTTGAGTGAATTATCCTTGATTTGATCAACTAAAGCTTGAGCCTTATCGCAGACATTGTCCACCAATACATTGTGGGTGGTGATTTCTTGATGCAATAGTTTGTGGTTTTGCAATTGGGCTCTCTTTTCTTGTAAAGTTGTCTTGGGTTCGGTGTGACTTTGCATGGCCTTATCGACATCCTTAAGCCATTTAGTCAACTGATCTTGGGCAATGGAGAATTCATTAAACTGTAGTATACAATGATCAATTTTCTGTGAAGCTTGATTAAGATCATCCGTATAGTTATCCCACATAGTGCGTAGATTTCTCAATTGTTGACGTATAATTTCACGACCATCAGGACTAGTGTGACCATACAATTTCTCACCATTATCTATGAGATTTTCAAAGATTGTACCATCATTAATTCTCTTGTCCGACATATCTCTCAATTTGTTTTGTCTTTCTTGCAAAAGATTTTGATCGCCTACTACATCCTTGTTCTTTTCCAATTCATCAATGCACAACTGTAATTCTTGTTTGAATTTTTCGTATTCCTGATCGAAAGCTTCATGATCTTTGACATAGTTTTGGTATTTGGCAATCGATTCCTTGCAGAGATTCTTCAAGGTTTGATATCTGGTATTCAAACGGGATAATTTAAGATTCAAGTCAGTTTCTCCTTCAATTTCACGTCCTTGATCCATGAGATCATTAATGGATTTGGCTTTCTTTTCGATATCATTGGCAAATGCCAACAGCTGTTGCAAATGGGCTTTCTTGGCTTCGGCTGTACTCTTAAGCGATTGATTCTTAACCACCGCCTCAACACCCTTCATCCAGTTGTCGATTTCATCAATTATAGTTTCAAATTCATCCCATTTGGAGCACAATTGTTTTAGTTTAACCAAAGAGTCTTCACACAAAACCATAAATTCATCCCAAGCATTTTTGGGTTCTTGGAAACTCTTCAACAAGGCTGGATGTCCTGAAGGATGTGTTTGCGAAAGTACCGTATTCAAAAGTTGTTGGCAGGTTTCGAATATTTGATCACCTTCGGGTTTATGTTGCAAAAGATTTTCTACAACAATAAGTTTTTCTTCAGCACCTTCCTTCTCGAAAGTGGTTTCATTGAGTATATCAATGGCTTCTGATTTGATGGTATTCAACCAATCTTGTGCCTTTTCCAAAACTTGATCATAAGCTTCATGCTTGGCAACTTGATTAGTAACTACACCAATTCTATCGGTAATCTTCTTAGACAAGTCATTGTATTCCTTAATGGACTCTTCGGTCTTACGTTCCGATTCGTCATCACACAAGGCTATGGCCTTCTCTTGCAACTGTTTCAAAGCATTCTTGTGCAAAGTGGCTTCTTGTAATTGAACTTTGTAGTTTTGTAGAGCAGCCTTTTTGGCCGCCAAAGTGGGATATAATTCATCACTGGCAGCAGCCTTGGCCTTGGATTCATTGAGATAATGCGATACTTGAGTGTAACTTTCTTCAATTGTGGTCTTCTGGATCAGTACACCTTCAACTTGTTGCATCAAGGCATTTGCCTCGTCACGCAAGTAATCAAAGTTTTCTCTCAAGTTTCTCAATTGAGCACGAATCTTTTCACGGTTTTCGGGTGTAACTGAAGTGTACATGGCTTCACCAATGTCAACAGCATTGTTTAGCAAAATCTGTCCATTATCGAAAGTATTCAGGTAATTCTTAATTGTCTGCAATTGTTGGGCAGTGGCTGAGGATGAACCTGGTGAACCCATACGAGCTAATTCTTGGAATTCAACCTTAGCCTCGGACAACCAATCGGTGGCATCAGTTAGGGCGGCATTATAATCATCATTGGCCTTGGCAGTTTCATTTAGTTTATCCATATATTGTTGTAGACCCTTAGCTACGGTTTGGTAACGTTGTACTAAATGTGTAACAAATTGACCAATGCGAGCCTCTGGATTTTTGGCAATCAATTGCTGAGAGGTCTTTTCCAAGTTGTTTATAATGGGACCATGTTCATTGATATCCTGCTGGAGAGCAGCAAGTTCTTGCAATTTTTTGGGTATTTCATTAAGATTGATTTGATTACTAGTTTCAGCCTTAATACGTCCCTCAATATCTCTCAACCAGGCGTTCAATTCTTCATTGGATTTCTCATATTCCACCCAAAGATCAACATTTTCATTTAAGATATTTTTGATTTGATCAAATGAGTTTTCTAAGTCCTTCATTTCTGCATTCAACAAATCGGCATCTTTAACCAATTCAGCAATATTTTCGGGCGATTCAATGGCTTTAAGCATCTCCAAGGAGTTGGCAATTTCACCTTGTCTTTTCTTGCAATCTTCCAAGGCTTTGCCTACTTCTTGCAAAGAAGATTTCTTAACATCCAAGTTATACTTATCACTGGAACTTTCAGGTTGACACCAGGCCACCTTTTCCTTTTGTGTACTGATGATTCTCTTCAACATACCCACCTTATCGGCGTGGAATTTCTTAAGGAACTGTAGAAGAGAATTTTCAATTTTCTTGGCATAAACATCAACACCATCGTATCGCTTTTGGACATTGTTAAGTTCTTTGGGAATAATGGATTCACTGAATGTAGGATAAATACTCTTTAGCTCATCTACCTTCTGCTTAATGTTGTCAATTTCATTGCCAGTATTTGAGAGTTCAGCTTGCAGAGCTCTGCAGTTTTGCAAGCGTTCAATAATCTTGGTATTATCTCCAGACATATCATCACATTTAATGAGTTGTTCTCTCAGTCTTCCTACTTGTTCACCGGCTTGTTTGATGTTCTTTCTCAAGTCTTGTTCTTGATCATTGAACTGAGCAGTTATGGCATTAAGACGTTCGGCATTATTTTCCACCTCAGCAAATTGTTCATTCAGCAATTGATTGAGTGAGGTCAAAGCAGGAATTTCAACATTGTTGTTGATCTTCAAGAGCTCAGCAGATTTTTCGGCAATTGTATCTTTCAAGGCCTGATAAGAAGGCAATTCGGAACGGTATTTGGTTAGACGCATGGGAGCAAATTCAATTTCTATACTATTATCGGCAGCATCACACAAGCCTTGATTAGTTTCGGACAACCAGGGCATGAGATCCTTTTTGGCATCTTCAATTTGAGACCATATAACAGCTTCGGTTTCGTACATATGGGCATTTTTAACCGTCTTATCGTGAAGATCCTGATAGCTTTGCTTAGCAGCAGCCAAATCATTGGGTATATCCTGGGGAATCACTTCGCCAATATTATCAAAGAGTTTTCCGATATTCGCTACCTTGCGATCAAATTCATCTAAAACTACCTTAACCTTTCTAATTTGGTCCATAGTTTTGCGTGTCTTATCGGAAGCTTGTTGCAGTTCAACTTCATCTCTTGGCTGTTGGGGTATTGTGTGGTAGAGATCATTGGCTTTTTTCATTTCTTGAGAGAATTTATTCTTAATATCAGCATATTCACGTAAGGCACGAGAAATCAATTCGTACTTTTGAATACGATCGGCAATTTCTCCCTGTAGCGAATCGTAGTCTTTGTCCATATGCAAAAGAGTATCTTGTATGGCCGGCATACTTGCAATATCTTCGCGCATCAATTGTGTACCCTCATCGTGAATTTTGTTTTTGAGATCTGATTGAACCTTCAAAGCATCATTAAGAGCCACCAGATCGGCAATAATTTGATCGATATTTTCAAGATTGGGTTTACGTTTCAATATTTCAGACAACTTGGCACGGTTTTCTTGCAAAGCTTGTGCCATGTTGTTCTCCAAAGTATGGAAGTTATCTTTTCTAACTTGCATCTGTTCAATTTGTTGTTTATGGTTTTGTGTGCGCAATTGCAAGTTCTCCAATTTATTTTCAACATCATTGACGATCTGTGTAGCAATGTAGGGTTTGCGGGTCAAGGCATCTTTAAGATGTATAACAGGATTTTCATCGATTTCTTTAGCTTGGGCTTTCCAATATGGCACATTTTTGGCAATGGCAGAGATTTCTGTCATTATTTTGTTTAACTCTACGGGTTGGGGAGCTTCTGGCTTTTCGATTTGATGTTTCAAATAGTTCATGTGATTTTCAGTTTCATGCTTCCAATTCAATAGTTCAGTCCATTTCTCTAAGCAAACCTTCTTTTGCTGCATATTGGTTTCCAAGTTTTGGTAGTTTAATACCAAAGCTGAATAAGCTTCATTTAGAGCTTTAGTTTCTTCGGGGGAAGCACCTAAGGAAATTTGCTTAACTTCATCGTAAATAGCGTTAAAGGAGGGCTTCTTGTCATTGTGTTCTTGCATAAGAGCATGGACGACATGTAAACTAGTTTCGACTCTTTCGGGATTGATTTCTTCCACCTGGGCAAGTTGAGATCTCAAGTTATCCATCCAGTTAGAGAAGTTAACCATTTTAGCGTTAAAGTCTTGACGGGCTATGATAGCATCGGAAATTTCATTGATATTGCCGCGAGTGGCTTCCGACAATTTCTGCAGTTTGGCTTTCATGGTATTTACACGGTCCTTAAGACTAACAGCACCCTCAGGTGCCAAATGTAAACTAATTTGATCGGCAGATTGACCCAAAGCCACCAATTTGGCTTGTTGTTCGGAAATTTCATTGTTAAACGACTTAAGACGCACCAACTCATTCTCCAATTTATCAACATGAGGAGTACTGAGTAGCGCAGACTTCTTGCCTACACATTGTTCGCCCTTTTCGATCCAGTCTTCAAGTTTACCGGCATCATTTTCGAAGGACTTCCAATTACTAACAAGTTTTTCCAATTTACCACTGGCCTGTTTAGCATTTTCGTGTACAGTGGTCCAACGGGAGTGCATGGCATCTACTTCGTCAGGGGCATTGGTTTTGCATAACATTTTGTGTGTAATGTTTGAGATGCCTTGGAGTCGGTCTAATTGCTCCAAGCAATGTGTTTCGAATTGTTTGGCATTTTGTTGCAATGCAACTGCTTCTTCAAGGGACATAGGTTTAGGGACTATAGTATTTACCTTAATTTCACTTTCCTCCACAATGGGTTTCAAGTGCTGGATGCCGGTTTGGAATTGTTGCCAGTTGGCAAGGTCTTCTTGTACAGCTTGAGCCTGATGATCCACATTGCGGTTGATGGCACTGAGAACTTCTTGAAGTTTAGTTATTTCACCCTTCAATCTCTTGGCTTCAGCAATGTTGCCTTCTTTGGGTGCTAATTCGGAAGCATCGGCAGCTAGCATATCCAATTGTTTCATCCTTTCGGCCAAAGTACCCTTGAAAGCGTTAACCTTCATGACACGTTCTTCAGGGGTTAAATCTTCTGAGTGTAAAGTTTCTATGGCCTTTGGTGCTACCTTATTGGCCCATTCTTGCAATTCAGCTAGACGAGACTTGTAGTTATTCCATTTAGCACTGTAGTCTTCCAAGTAACCAACACGATCCTTTACATGTTCCATGGTATTGAAGAACATTTTCTCGACTTCAGTAACTTCCTTCTCTAATATGGGTCTCTTTTCGGCCGCCGCCAAGGGAGCTAATTCAGCCTTCAAGGCATGAAGTTTGGGCAACAATTGATGAGAGGCTTGATGCAGTTGAGTATTCAATTCACGTTTGGCCTTCAAATCTTGACTGACATTCTTGGGATCAGTTTGCAAAGGAGTCAAGGCTCTCAACTCAGTCTCAGCCACTTGCAACATGGAACAAATGTCGGCCTTTTGATCGGCAAACTCATTCCAGACGGCTTGAGTACCCTTAAGGGCTTGCAACTTATCGGAAGTTTGTGTATAAGCTTGGTTCCAGCCAGTTTCCAAATTCTTTACTTCATGTTGTACAAAAGCAGGAGCATGAACGTCCTTGCTTAAGTCACGACCTCTTTGCAGCATTGACATGATATGAGGACGTTGATGATCCAACTGATTGATGGCATATTGTTGTTCTTCAATTAGCTTGTTAACACGTTCCAAACTATCGGGTGGTGGTATGTTGGCGGCTTGTTCTTTAACCTTGCTCAAAAGACACACAACTTCATGTACCTCACGGCGATAGGTATAGCACTTGGAGAACACTTCAGTCTTGACCATGGTAATTTCAATGGTGGGTATGAGATTTTTATAACGAGCAATCAGATCTTCCAGTTTCTTCTGTTCGGCATTGGCTTCCTCTTCACTGGCATAGCTAAGAAGATGATCCAAAGTTTTCACCAACCATTTCATGTCTTCACGTTTATTGTCGGCTTCTTGGCAGATTTTCTAAGATATTAAAACAGCAATATATTAATAATTAAGAAAGAAACCAAATAAGTAAAATGAATAATGAAATGAAGGAAAGAGTGGCCTTTCGTTGAAGACCAACCCCGGATATATAAAAAAACGAGAGATTTAATTATTTCAAAATTTACCACTAGCTCCCTTAGCTGCATGATTTCGAAGTACAAAAAATGAATGTTATTGATGTTTAAATTTAATTTTACTAAAGACCAGAAACTTACCTGGAAAACAACCTTCTCCTTTTCAAACTCTTCCATGCTGTTGACTTCATTGACAATATTCTTTAAACTCTTGTCTACGGTATTCATCCATTCGACCATATCATTGAATTTCTCATGATATGATTCCCATTGGGCAGGAATTTGCTGTAGAGTTTCACGCATGGTAGCAATCTTATTCGATAGCTGAGCATATTGAGCTTGGGCATTTTTGTAGGCATTCTCCAAGGAGTTGTCAGTGGGCTGTTGCTGTCTGTAGGCTTGATCTAAGCGATACATATTTTGCAAACTATTCTCCAATCGGGGTATGGAACCTTGTTGCAAGAAGAACTGTTGATTGCGTTTAAGTATGGAGTCAACATCTTCGTTACGATTCAGAGCTTGCTCTTCCAAATGCAACTCCTTTTCCACTTCCTGCATAGTTTGATGGAATTGTGATTCTTCGGCACGGAATTCCAATTTCATTAAATGCAAAGGTGCTTGAGACAAAACGTTTTGCCATTTGGTTTGTAAACCTTCTACGGAATCTACCACCGGTTTCTGTTCTGGTGGTGGCAAAGTTTTCAACAGATTCTGAGCCGACTCCACCAAATTGGACATCCATCTTTGGTTGACATTTTCAAAGAAGTATTTCTGGGTCTCAATGGTGGTCTTGGTTTCAATATGTTTTTCAATTAGAATCGTTTCAGCCTGAGTCAACCATTCGCTGACAACACGTTCGTTATCCTTGAAATTATTCCAATTGTTGAGAGTTTCTCCCAAACGTTGTTCCCATTGCTGGGCATTTTGTATAACATAGTTGAAGCGATCATTCATTTGCTGCATATTGTGTTGGGCTTGGGTGGGATCAATGTTTTCGTCGGCCGTTACATTTCTCAAAAGATTCTGGAACACCTTATTCTTACTCTCCAACATGGAGCGATAGTAGACGGTGCGTGAGAAGAATGTTTTATGTTTGTTCAATTCCTCATTGACCTTGTCGCGTCCACCACTTAAAGTGTGGGTGCTTAATAGGGATTCGGCTTCGTTGAGCCATTGATGGATTTCCTTTTGACCGGCTTCCAGCGATTCTTGTTGTATTAAGAGTTGATGTATTAAATGTAACTTGTTGGGTATTTGAGCGCGTACACGCACTAAGGCTTCCTTTTCCAGTTTAAGAGTCTTCATCATGCCATCGACTTCTTCACGTGAGAGATCCTGTATAAGACCTTGGATATTGCGGCTAATATTTTTGAACAGTTCCTCATTGTCGTCAATTTCTGAAGCCAATTTTTGTAAATCTTCACTGTATTTCTGTATTTGTTGGCTATCGCCCAATTGCAACTTCTGACTAAGAATACTTTCGGCTGAGCGCAACCACTGGTACAACTTTTCAATTCCTGATTTATATTCTTGTCTAGAACGTATGATATCACCGGCATGCATATATTTTTTAGTATTAACGAAAAGTCTTTCAAAACGTTCGGCCAAATAACCGTGTTGTTGTCTTAAGTTATGGGCAATATTTTCTTCGCAGGAGGCAATCAAATAATTGGCACCATTGGCTAAGGCATCAAATTTATCCTTCCATACACTGATGTCCTGGAAGAAGTTCAACTTTTCATCTTCGGACTGCATGACTTTTTGTTCGGCCAAATTAAGCCATTGCTCGCATTCGGGACTCAATTGATTCCAAGTTTTCCAACAGTTCACCACCTCTTCCAGCGAGTTTTGGCAACATTTCAATTCCAAAGACACACGCTTCCAACGCTCTTCGGTGTCATACATGAAACGATCAATGTCCACTATATCCTTGCGTGAGACATTGCCATCACGTTTGTATTCATCCACCACCTGTTGCATATCCACGAAAGCCTTTTGGAATTCTTGGAAAATCTTGTTGCGAGACACGAAATTCTTGTATTGTTCCAATTGTTGGGCTACTCTTTCTTCGGTACCATATTTACCGGTCCAACCCTTCATTTTGTTTTCGACCAAATTCAAAAATGCCACCAAACAGCATTTGTGTTCTAGGAACTTTAATTTAATTCTACGTTCGGCTGCCCTGGGGCCAACCTCTTGCACACGACGCTCCATATTGCGCAATTGTTCCAAGGGTATTTTCTGGGCCAAGGGTGATCTCTTGGCATTTTCAAACATTGCCACAATACGTGGCAAATCGGCAAAGAACAACTTATGTTCTTCTAGTTTACGAGAAATAACGGCAGCCGTTTCCTCGTTCATGGCTGTGGGTATATCATTATCCATAAGGATTTTTTCGGCTTCAGCCAACCATTTGCCCACCTCACCGAATTCACCCGGCAATTCAGAGTCCAATAACCAAAGCCAATAGTTCATTTGATATTGGACACGTTGCCACAAGACATTTATATCCTCCCAGTTGGAACGGGAAACTTGCAAGAAACCACTTTGGCTTTCGACCAATTGTTTCAAACGATTATATGTGGGCAAATGGGCATCAATTTCAGAACGAGCTATCAAATATTCGGCAAAATCACGCGGGAAAGAATTTCCAATTACCATTGGCTCATATTCGGCAGATTTCTCCATTAGGAAACGTTTGAGTTCATCGATTTCTTGTTGTATATGCGAGAAATCTTTGCTGGCACCCTGGTAATAAATAAACATCACCCTTAAGTCTTATAATTTATATTAAATTTCAAAAAGAAAATCTCACCTTGGGTTCAGGATACTTATGCAAGAACTGAGCCACATATGTCATTATACTCTTTTCGTCTGGCTTAGGTACATCCACATCCTCAGCATCCAATAGTTTAGCAATGCCTAGTTTACTTTCGGCCACATCGAAAGCTGTTTCCAAACGTTGGCGATTGTTAGCGTTCTTCTTCAATTCAGCCAGATTAACTAAATTGGCCTTTATGGAATCAATGAGAGCTAAGAAAGCGACACCATCCCTCCAGCTGGCACCGAAATCCTTAACCTCTACACCACTTTCCCTGCAAAATTAATTTTATATAAATGATCTTATTCATAAGCTTCGTTGTCGTTTAAATACTCACTTTGGCAGGGCATTTGTTACCCAGTTGAGCAAGGTTTTTCTGGCACCTTGCTTCCATTTTTCAGCCTTCATATCACTAGCGTTTTTACCCACGCTATCAAGAGAACTAACCGAACCACCAATGCCATGGCCCAAGTATTCGAGGTTGCGGCTATTCTCTTCAATCTAGAAAAAGTGGAAATGTTTGAAAGTTAGTTTCGTGGTTTTTAATTTGGTTGATAGAGAGTGTTTTGTAAAAATTTACATTCACCGTGAAACATAAAAAAAACTATTTCTAAAATTTTAAATTAAAATTGTTCTGTTTAAATGTAGACTAATTAACACTTTGTCTTGACCATTTAATTAACTTTTTGATTTCGAGAGATTACTTTAGATTCTGGTTTGAAAACTTTGGATAGTCATGATCATTAAAGATCTCGGTCTAGACTATAGACTAGGCTAGAGACTCGACTATAGACTAGTCTATATACACGACTATATACTAGACTATAGAGTCAACTATACACTAGACTATAGACTAGACTATAGAGTAGTCTATAGACTAGACTATAGACTAGACTATAGATAAGACTATAGACTAGACTATAAACTAGAGTATAGACTAGACTATAGATTACACTATAGACTAGACTATAGACTAGACTATAGACTAGACTATAGACTAGACTATAGACTAAACTATAGACTAGACTATAGACTAGACTATAGACTAGACTATAGACTAGACTATAGACTACACTATAGACTAGACTATAGACTGGACTATAGACTAGACTATAGACTAGACTATAGGCCAGACTATAGACTAGACTATAGACTAGACTATAGACTAGACTATAGACTAGACTATAGACTAGACTATAGACTAGACTATAGACTAGACTATAGACTAGACTATAGACTAGACTATAGACTAGACTGTAGACTAGACTATAGAGTAGACTATAGACTAGACTATAGACTATACTATAGACTAGACTATATACTAGACCATAGACTAGACTATAGACTACACTATAGACTAGACTATAGACTAGACTATAGACTAGACTATAGACTGGACTATAGACTAGACTATAGACTAGACTATAGACTATATAGACAAGACTATAAACTCGACTACAGACTAGACTATAGAGTAGACTATAGACTAGGCTGTAGACTAGACTATAGAGTAGACTCTAGACTAGACTATAGACTATACTATAGACTATACTATAGACTAGACTATATACTAGACCAGTGTTGCTCAAACACATACTACCATAGACTACCATAGTTTTATTTGTGTTGGTAAAGCAGCAGAGAACAGAATTCAATTCAAAATAAAAGTATACTAATAAAATGACTATAAACTATAAAGCATATGCTAACTGTCAAATATTTAATATGGATTTTGACAGCCAGCGTATATCAAAGTCTATATATAAAAAACTATCAACTGTTCTCTCATGTTCTCCTACATTAATTCGGCTTTCTCAAAATTTTGTTGTTGTATTTCTGTGTGTATTTTAAAAACGTCGCCTACAGAACTTACTTCGATAAGTGCTGATCAGCAACTGACTGATTTTTAAGTTGAGAGCAAACCAACTGATATTGCTCATTATAAAAAGAAGAAGAATTAAACCTATAGTGTATGTGTATCAACTTAGCGTCAGCAGAATTTTCTTACCCTGTCACGCGTGCTATGTAATGGCAATCTTGCGCTCCTCTGTACTACAGACTAGACTATTGACCCGACTATAGGCTAGACTACAGACTAGACTACAGACTCGACTATAGACCAGTCTATAAACTCGACTATATACTAGACTATATACTAGACTATAGACTCGACTATATACTAGACTATAGACTCGACTATAGACTAGATTATAGACTCGACTATAGACTAGACTATAGACTCGACTATAGACTACACTATAGACTCGACTATAGACTACACTATGGAATAGACTACATACTCGACTATTGACTAGTCTATAGACTAGACTATAAACTCGACTACAGAATAGACTATAGAGTAGACTATAGACAAGGCTGTAGACTAGACTATAGAGTAGAGTATAGACTACACTATAGACTATACTATAGACTATACTATAGACTATACTATAGACTAGACCATAGACTAGACTATCGACTAGACCATAGACTAGACTATAGACTAGACTATAGATTATACTATAGACTGGACTATAGACTAGACTATAGACTACACTATAGACTAGACTATTGCCTAGACTATTGACTAGACTAGAGAGTAGACTATTGACTGGACTAGACTATAGTCTAAACTATAGATAAGACTCTAGACTACAGACAAGATTATAGTTTATAATTAAACGCGGTAATTTTCGATATCAATAAGTATAGACTAAAGTTGAAGGTTTAGAGCAGAGATAGGCTCTCATAAACAATAGTAATTAGGAAACTCATTTGTCATTATCTGTGCAGATCGTGAAGATAGCTATTCATTCTAATAAGCCTTCTAATGATCTCTTTGGAATTTATTTCTAATGGAAATTTTTGAATAGTTTTTTTTTAACTCTCTCTATAGCAAATTAAATGGTCAAGCAAAAGTTAAGTGAAAATTACAATAACAACAAAATTAACTTTAATTTAAACATTATTTTGCAAAATAAATAAAATAACTAATCAAACTACAACAAAATAAAAATTATTGAATTTAACGATAATCACACACCATATAAATTTGTTTAATAAAGTGCGAAAAAGTAATAGTAATAAATATAATAATAGTAATAAAAAATAATAGTAAAAAAGATCTGAACAGATGAGGGTGATAATAATAACTAAAACATATTTAGAACAATTACATGTTGTGTTTTTGTCTGATAGTAATCAGACAGACAAGAGACTACAGACGATTTAGTTTTCAAAAAAATTACCTGTGGCTTATAATTAATAACTACTACTAGCTTTTTCCGCCTCTTTTTACGTATCTTTGCATATTAATTGAAAAATTGTACAAAATATATATATGTATATTATAAATCATAAATATATATGTATATATAATCAAAAAAGGAATACAATTACATGTTAACAAATTTGTAATTTATTTTGGTATGAATTAGAATTAGAAAAAAATCAAAAAAATGAAAGATATAAGAACAACATTACAGAGTAATAAAAAGGCTGAGAGATCTTGTTTTTTTGAACAATTATTATAAAGTGAGTTTATGTTCAACATTAAGAAGTGCTGAATACTTCAATTGAATTGATTTAAGTGCGCATAGAACACACAATATTAATTTTTTTTTAAGTTATAGTTAGTAGTGTAAAACTTACCTGGAAGTATAATATAATGGTCCATATCAAACCCAAAACAACTGGTGGTCTCCCATCCACCAAATCGGCTGGATTGATATTGACTAATTTTATACGTTTGCTAGCCAAGAATTGTAACGCTGTATTGGCATTGCTAAGGAAATGTGGACGTCTTAAAACGCGTCCCCTTTCGACGGGTAGCTTTTCGCCAGATAACACTTCCAAAAGTGCTATTAATTTTGTACCATCGCGCAAATCGTTGATCAAATCATCCACTCGAAGCGGTGGAACACGCTAAAATTGAGGAAGAGAAAAATTAATTAATTAGTTAAACAATTAATAAAAGTTTTAATTAAATAACATCGATTTTTTTAAATTTATTGTTTAAATAAATTTTTTTAAAAAATTTATTACATCACATTTTTGTTTTCAATTTGAAATCTGAATTTTAAATTTGCATTTGAGTACGAATTCTTCAAAATCTAAATACGTGATCACCTTGATCACCTTGATCATAAACAACCTTAAAACTACAAACAACAAAAAAACAGGTAACAATGATCCAAAATGACAATAGTTTTTGCTTTTTTACACAATAAAACTGAATTTAAATTTAATTTAAACAAATACGTTTCGTTTCATATGTGTATTATATAAAACCGGATTTTAAAGATCTTGAAGTTAGTCAAATGTATTCGAGAGTTAAAATTAGATAATTGATCTTCTTTGAATTTTGAAAGTGAAAAGCTTATTTCTAAATAATAGAAAGTAATTAGAAGTTGTACTTGTAGTTTAAAAATGTAAATTTGTTTAAGACTAAAAAAATAACAACCATGAAGAGTGATCTGCACAAAATTAGATGATCCCATTTCCTACACACACACACACACGATCGTTAATGAAGTTTGCTAAACCATTTGCAAATTGATCTTAAAAAGTATTACATTCCTTTCACCTAAATCTTAAGCCGAGAGAGCATAGGTTAACATGATTCAATAGTTTTGGGTTTATGGTTAAAAGAAATTCTTAATTAAAATTTCCCTAAAATTAAATTTTTAACTCATAATTTTTAAACATAATTTTATGACGCGCACTTAAATTAGTTTATGGCAATTTTATGACAATATACACAGATACATATGTACATATGTATGTAAATGTATAAGCATATAAATAATGGTCAATAAACTTATAACTATTTCAAAGCCCACAACATCTTAGCTGAAACACTACGCACAGTGGTATAGGAAAAAAAAAGAGGGAAATAATTCGGTAACTTCTAAACGGTTAATCCGATTTTAATGAAATTTGGTGTGCACAAAGAGGAGGTGTTGTCGAGTTTAGGTTTTGAATTTGGACCTTATAGGCCAACCAGGGGCCCGGCGGGGGGTCATCAAATTAGGACACCTCGGCTATGTTAAATTTTTAAAACGATCCTATTTCTTCATTTGAGTTCCGATTTAAAAAAAATTTCGTATATAGAATCTCCTCATCGAGCACTATAAAAAATTATCTCTTATAGTTTAGGAGATATTCGCATTTGAATATTAAAATTTTAAAATTTTTACCGTCCTTACTTTAGTTTTTTTGATAATAGCAGGTCCAAATATTTCCGATTTTCGCCATTTTTTTTATTTGCTTAACAACAAGTTTATATACCAAGCAGTGAAAGAATTATGTAAAAATCATGACTGAGTCCAAAGTTATAGGCATTTAAATTTAAAAAATTAAAAAAAGGCGATTTTTTGTCATTTTTTTGGGAAAAAAGTATCTTTTTCTTTTTAAGTTATCTAAAAAGTTTCTAAGAAGATGTATATAGAATTTACACTTTTTGGAAAGCTGACTTTACATAAAATACGATAAATGAAACAAAACCTAAAAATTTTTGATACCGAGGGGACCAGGTCCATCCAAAAAAACCCTATTTTTTATGGAAAATTAAATTTTGAGCAAAAATTCTCAAATCGCATAGTCGATATCAAATTATAGTGACCTGTTTTATATGACCCAATAAGTTCTTAATCATTTTGTAACGGGTTTCGATAACCCCGCCCCTGGTATGGATATAATAGGCAAAAAACCAAAAAATCCCATTTTTGGGATTTTTTAAAACTTTTTTGGGAATTCCGGGATTTCTAATAAGAAAATTCGAAATTTTTATTTAATTTTGGATTTTGAGTAAAAAAATCTACCTAACTGTAAAATTTCATCAAAAAATATTCATAAATAAAATTTTTATTGCAATTTGAAAAATTTGTATCTTCGCAAAAACTGAATAAAAAACATTTTTTAATTTTTTTTAAAAAAAGTATTCCGCGAATTTTTTAATTTTCAAAAATTATATACAGTTTTGAAAAATAGACAAAATTACCTTTCCATTGATATATAACATGCCTACCTAATGTTTTTTAAGTGACAAATTAATTAGGGAAAACTCAACATCTTTTAGAAAATTTACCTAGCACTATTATTTTCATCCATATATGTAACAAATTTAAGAGTTAACCTTAATTTTTTTTTTAATTTTCAAAAATTATATACAGTTTTGAAAAATAGACAAAATTACCTTTCCATTGATATATAACATGCCTACCTAATGTTTTTTAAGTGACAAATTAATTAGGGAAAACTCAACATCTTTTAGAAAATTTACCTAGCACTATTATTTTCATCCATATATGTAACAAATTTAAGAGTTAACCTTATGGATGAAAATAATAGTGCTAGGCAAATTTTCTAAAAGATGTTGAGTTTTCCCTAATTAATTTGTCACTTAAAAAACATTAGGTAGGCATGTTATATATCAATGGAAAGGTAATTTTGTCTATTTTTCAAAACTGTATATAATTTTTGAAAATTAAAAAATTCGCGGAATACTTTTTTTAAAAAAAATTAAAAAATGTTTTTTATTCAGTTTTTGCGAAGATACAAATTTTTCAAATTGCAATAAAAATTTTATTTATGAATATTTTTTGATGAAATTTTACAGTTAGGTAGATTTTTTTACTCAAAATCCAAAATTAAATAAAAATTTCGAATTTTCTTATTAGAAATCCCGGAATTCCCAAAAAAGTTTTAAAAAATCCCAAAAATGGGATTTTTTGGTTTTTTGCCTATTATATCCATACCAGGGGCGGGGTTATCGAAACCCGTTACAAAATGATTAAGAACTTATTGGGTCATATAAAACAGGTCACTATAATTTGATATCGACTATGCGATTTGAGAATTTTTGCTCAAAATTTAATTTTCCATAAAAAATAGGGTTTTTTTGGATGGACCTGGTCCCCTCGGTATCAAAAATTTTTAGGTTTTGTTTCATTTATCGTATTTTATGTAAAGTCAGCTTTCCAAAAAGTATAAATTCTATATACATCTTCTTAGAAACTTTTTAGATAACTTAAAAAGAAAAAGATACTTTTTTCCCAAAAAATGACAAAAAATCGCCTTTTTTTAATTTTTTAAATTTAAATGCCTATAACTTTGGACTCAGTCATGATTTTTACATAATTCTTTCACTGCTTGGTATATAAACTTGTTGTTAATGGCGAAAATCGGAAATATTTGGACCTGCTATTATCAAAAAAACTAAAGTAAGGACGGTAAAAATTTTAAAATTTTAATATTCAAATGCGAATATCTCCTAAACTATAAGAGATAATTTACTGCTACGACGACATTTTTTATAGTGCTCGATGAGGAGATTCTATATACGAAATTTTTTTTAAATCGGAACTCAAATGAAGAAATAGGATCGTTTTAAAAATTTAACATAGCCGAGGTGTCCTAATTTGAGGACCCCCCGCCGGGCCCCTGGTTGGCCTATAAGGTCCAAATTCAAAACCTAAACTCGACAACACCTCCTCTTTGTGCATACCAAATTTCATTAAAATCGGATTAACCGTTTAGAAGTTACCGAATTATTTCCCTCTTTTTTTTTTCCTATACCACTGTGCTACGTTCACTTCATAACGGCCGGCCGGCCGGCCACAGCATAGATGCCATTTTTTCATCGAAAAAATCGTATTTTCTCTCACTTTTTTTGCACTAAATGAAGTTTTTTCTAAAGTCCACAATTGTTGGCAAAATGATGTTGTGTTGTTGGACAAGAGGCGTGAGTGAAGGAACATACTTCCATACATAAGCAAAAATAAAAATATGTGGTCATCTGGACGCCAAAAATAAAGTCCATATTAAAGAACTGGTTTCATATATTTGTTTAGCACATGTTGGCCACGATCAAAAGATTTTTATTGCCAACAATGAAAAAAAGCAGTAAACATATTAAAAGAAATATTTTACATATTCTGGTATTTGAGAACGAGGGTGGCCAGAGAAGTTTCTTGAGAATTAAAAGAAACTTAACAACAACTATACTTAAACGAACTTCTAGATAGATGGCCTGGCAATGCCAGGCTGGCATATAGAATAGATTTTAAACTGGACCATAAACTAAACCAGACTATAGACTAGACTATGGACAAACCTATAAATCGACTATAGACCAGAATATGAACTAGGCTAATAGCCTAGACTATAGACTAGACTTTAGACTGGACCATAGACCAAACTATAAACTAGACAAACTAACGAGACCTGCACTAGAACTGAACTAGAACTGAACTAGAACTGAACTAGAACTGAACTAGAACTGAACTAGAACTGAACTAGAACTGAACTAGAACTGAACTAGAACTGAACTGAAGTAGAACTGAACTAGAACTGAACTAGAACTGAACTAGAACTGACCTAGAACTGAACTAGAACTGAACTAGAACTGAACAAGAACTGAACTAGAACTGAACTATAACTGAACTAGAACTGAACTAGAACTGAACTAGAACTGAACTAGACTGAACTAGAACTGAACTAGAACTGAACTAGAACTGAACTAGAACTGAACTAGAACTGAACTAGAACTGAACTAGAACTGAACTAGAACTGAACTAGAAACTGAACTAGAACTGACTAGAACTGACTAACTGAACTAGAACTGAACTAGGAACTGAACTAGAACTGAAACTAGAACTGAACTAGAACTGAACTAGAACTGAACTAGAACTGAACTAGAACTGAACTAAGAACTGAACTAGAAACTGAACTAGAACTGAACTAGAACTGAACTAGAACTGAACTAGAACTGAACTAGAAACTGAACTAGAACTGAACTAGAACTGAACTAGAACTGAACTAGAACTGAACTAGAACTGAACTAGAACTGAACTAGAACTGAACTAGAACTGAACTAGAACTGAACTAGAACTGAACTAGAACTGAACTAGAACTGAACTAGA